TGCGATGATCCATAATAATAATAATAATAATAATAATAATAATAATAATAATAATAATAATAATAATAATAATAAAGTTGGAAGGGACCTTGGAGGTCATCGAGTCCAACCCCCTGCTCAGGCAGGAAACCCTACACCATTTCGGACAAATGGCTGTCCAGTCTCTTCTTAAAAACTTCCAGTGTTGGAGCATTCACCGTTTCTGGAGGCAGGTAGTTCCACTGGTTAATTGTTCTAACTGTCAGGAAGTTTCTCCTTAGTTCTAGGTTGCTTCTCTCCTTGATTAGTTTCCATCCGTTGCTTCTTCTCCTGCTTTCAGGCGCTTTGGAGAATAGCTTGACTCCCTCTTCTTTGTGGCAGCCCCTGAGATATTGGAACACTGCTATCATGTCCCCCCTCGTCCTTCTCTTCATGAAACTAGACAGACCCAATTCCAGCAGCCGTTCCTTATATGTTTTAGCCTCCAGTCCCCTAATCATCTTTATTGCTCTTCTCTGTACTCTTTCTAGAGTCTCAGCATCTTTTTTAGATCATGGTGACCAAAACTGGATGCAGTATTCCAAGTGTGGCCTTACCAAGGCATTATAAAGTGTTATTAATACTTCACGTGATCTTGATTCTATCCCTCTGTTAATGCAGCCCAGCACTGTGTTGGCTTTTTTGGCAGCTGCAGCACTCTGCTGGCTCGTATTTAAGTGATTGTCCACTAGGACTCCGAGATCTCTCACACAGTTACTACTATTGAGCAAGGTACCCCCTATACTATGCGTGATGTTTTCTGCCCTATGTCCCTTCACTGTTGAGGACAGGTGCACAGACTCATCCCCAACAGCCTGCACCTGTCTTCAACCGTGAAGGGACACAGGGCAGAAAACATCCTGCAGCCAAGAAGACTCCACACCCATTTGCGCCACTCAGGTGACCCTGAGGACACAGGTAAACTTCCAAACCTCATCCAATCAGAGCTGAAGAAACATCTTGGATGTGAAACAAAATGTCTTCAAAGGAAAACAAAGTCCAGTTGTCTCTTGAAAAAGCACCTTTGGGACATCTGGACCTCTAGATATGGAACCGCAGTTTCCAATATTCCTCATTATTGAGTGTTTTCCTAAGACAGCTAGAAATGGTCTCATCCCTCCATTCTTAAGTACAGAATCCAACCTCCTCATTGGCCAGACAAGATGCTATTAGAGATAGTCCTCGACGTACGACATAATTGGAATCAGAACTTCCATGGCTTGACAGTGTAGTCCAGGGGTAGTCATTGAGTGAGTCACGCTCGATTTTACAACCGTTTTACCACGGCGCTAAGCAAATGACTAGGTTAAGTGAAGCACATGGTTGTTAAGTGAAGCACCCAGTTGTTAAGTGAATCTGGCTTCCCCCTTTGACTTTGCTCGTCGGAAGCCAGCTAGGAAGGTTTCAAGTGGCAATGACATGATCCCCAGGATGCCACAAACATCGTAAACACATGCCGGTTGCCAAGCGCCCAAATTTTCATCACGTCTGCGGGAACGGTATGACGGTTGTATGTGCGAGGACTAGTCGTCCCTTTTTTCAGCGCTGTTGTAACTTTGAACAGCTAAACGAATGGTCCTAAGTTTTAGAATTACCTGCATGCAGTTCTTCTCGATGCTGCCAACACACTGATTGGTCTTACAAATCATGGCTTGCCCTGTAGGATCTTTCTTATGACATTTTGATCTCTCTTTGTCCTCCAGGATCACACTTGGCAACCAACTGGATGGGATCCATTTGCTGGACCCCGATGTGGTAGCTCAGTTCAAGCAACGGTACCCGGACGGAATTATCTCAAAGCCCAAGAACATGTAATAGTGGAAGAGAGGCTGCAGTGGACCAAGAGCAGAGAGAGACCGCGGTGGACTCCCATAGTTTGCTTGGAAGTGAAAATGGAGGCAGTGCAAAGAAGAATGTATATTCTAATTGTTAGGATTTTAATAAAATTGGTGTTTTTCTATAGCTGAAGACCATAAGAGATTAGCAGGAGACCTGCTGGAGGAAATACTCTCCTGCAACCATTTGAGTGAGTCCAGTTTGCTGCCAGATCCCCAAATGCAACCTACATTTGCACCATATAGCACAGGGGTGTCAAACTCAATTTCATTGAGGGCCACATCAGCATTGCGGTTGCCCTCGGAGGGCCAGGTGGGTGTGACCAGGTTGGATGCGGCCTACTGGGTGGGCGTGGATGGAGTGGGTGTGGCCTACTGGGTGAGCATGGCCAGCTCTACATCGTTCGCATCAAGGGTGCCTGTGGGGGCCTGGGCAGGAGTGGGACAGATCTGAGGGTCTCTGGCAGAAGGGGGTGGGATCGGGGCAAGCGCCAAGGCATGGTCCATTTCTTCACTCCTCACAAAGGGTGACCCCTCCCCTGCATGCACCCAGGGGGCGGGTCCGACCCAGCAGCGGCTGGTTCCTCGCTGTTTCCAGACGGCCTTGTGGAGCTAAGACTGAATGCGTTTCAGCATAGATGGCCACCACAAAATTGTACATTGGCTCCCAGCCGGCCTGGGCCATGGTAGTGGGGCCGTTCCCTCACTGTTTCCAGGATGGCTTCGCGGGCCACATGAAACCACTTTGCGGGCCGCATCCAGCCCCCGGGCCTTGTGTTTGACATGTCTGATATAGCATGTTACTATTTCTGTGGAAGAGTTCTCCAATCTGATTCACCCTCAGATGCACGGTGGCTCCAAGGAATATTCAGCTGACAGCAGAGAGTCTAATCTAATGACCCAGGTAGTCCTCGACTTACAACAGTTCATTTAGCGACCGTTTGAAGCACTGAAAAAAGTGACATGACCATTTTTCACACTTATGACCGTTGCAGCATCCCCGTGGTCACATGATTTAACATTTGGGCGCTTGACAATTTACGACCGTTGCAATGTCCCGGGTCACGTGACCAGCTTTTGCAACCTTCTGACGACAACAAGGGAATGTTCAATGGGGAAGCCGGTTTCACTTCACAACCGTGTTCCTAACTTAACAACTGCAGCGTTTCGCTTAACAAACGCAGCAGGAAAAGTCGTAAAATGGGACAAAACTCCCCTTGACAAAATTTCTCACTTAGCAACATACACGCTGGGCTCCAATTGTGGTCGTTAAGACGAGGACTACCTGTGCTGCTGGGCCAGGTTTAATGGTCAACGCAAGCAGACGTAACCCGTCGGTATTTCTCAGCTCAGCTGGCAACAAAAGAGGTTTCACCCTTGATTTTGGGATTGGGAGTGACCATCCCCTCTTCAGGTCCAAACTTGCTAAAGGGAGGAAAGGGGAATTTAGCAACAGGACACAAAGGCACCTTGCATTTGAAAGACCAAAGGTCACTCTTTGGAAGGTGGCCAAGTCCACATTCTGGATAGAGAGGACCATTGGTTTGAAAGGGGGGTCAAAGACGCAATTTGTGTTGACATGTTAGCAGGGGGTGGGGGTGGTTAAGACACCACCTCTCTCCTGTTTACCACACAGCCCTTGTGGTGGTCCCAAGAAGAGTCCATCCCCATTTGCACTCTGGTATAGGTGACCCCGAGGGCACAGGCTAAACTCCCAAGTGGCCTCAATGGCTCTCAGAGAGAGAGCTAACGACCAGATGACTGCAAAGAAATATGATCCTTTCAACCCGTTTCCCCCCACATACACACACACAATCCTATCAGAATTAATCCTTCCGCAGCTCCCACCATTTGCCTTTAGAAAAAGCATCTTTGAGGCACCTTGTTTAGGGAAAGTTGCTTTCAACAGGCTGCCCCAGTGAAGGATGGGGGATGTGGAGGGGGGGCAGAGGACCATTGAGTAACTATTTGGGGATGGAAACATTAGGAATATTCCAAGTTTATCTTCAAACGGCCACTAGGTGAAGAAGCAGGCCTTAGGTTAAATGTCTAAACCAGGGGTAGGCCACCTTGGCTCTTTTATGACTCGTGGACTTCAACTCCCAGAATTCCTGAGTCAGCCACGCTGAGGGAAAAGGGAGAGGTTTCCAAGCTGAGCCATGCTGGCTCAGGAATTCTGGGAGTTGAAGTCCACGAGTCATAAAAGTTGCCAAGATTGAGGACCCGTTATAGGGCGGGGGAGGGGAACCTTGGCTCTTTTATGACACGTGGACTTCAACTCTCAGAATTCCTGAGTCAGCCACGCTGAGGGGAAAGGGAGAGGTTTCCAAGCTGAGCCATGCTGGCTCAGGAATTCTGGGAGTTGAAGTCCACGGTCATAAAAGAGCCAAGGTTGCCTACCCCTGCTCTAAAGGCATCTCAGGCTTGTCCCAAAGGTTGTTTCCCCCCAAAAAAAGTTAACTGGACTTAAATTTTTTCTTAGAAAATGTTTCGCTTCTCATCCAAGAAGCTTCCTGGACGAGAAGTGAAACGTTTTCAAGGAAAAAAGTAAGAAACTCCCGTTGCCTTTTTGAAAAAGCACCTATGGGACAACCATGACCTGGATGATTGAGAATCTCCATAGGGCATCTCAGGCTTCTGTCCAATTTGAGCATCAGGGATTAAATTCTCCTGTAGCAATTCCAGATTTGGGAGGTAATCAGCAGGCTGGGTTTGTATGTAGCCCCAAGCTATTACTAGGATTTTTCCAATCCACAATTACTATAAATTCCTATCTTCTTCCAACTATTTATACAGTTAGTTCTCAACTTACAACAGTTCTCTTTAGTGACCGTTCAAAGTTACAACGGCACTAAAAAAAATGTGACTTTATGATCCTTTTTCAGTTACCTTTGCAGCATCCCCACGATCATGTGATCAAAATTCAGATGCTTGGCAACCGATTCTTACTTACGATCTTTGCTGTGTCCCAAGGTCACATGATCCCCTTTTGCGACCTTCTGACAAGCAAAGTCGATGGGGGAAGCCAGATTCACTTTACAACCGGGTTACTGACTTTATCAGTTGCACTGATTCACTTAACAACTGTGGCGAGAAAAGTCGCAGAATGGGGCAAAACTCACTGAACAAATGTCTCACTTAGCGACAAGAAATTTCGGGCTCAGTTGTGGTCGTGAGGTCGAGGACGGCCTGTCGTATTAGTAAGGTGGCTGGGCTTTAGCTTGGCGTGATGTGCGAACCCAGTTGCTTAAACAAACCCAGTTGCTTAAACAAGGTAGCGGGAGCCTCACCAACCCAGATACCCCGTTTCCTTCAAAATAAAACGCAACCGGAAAATAAGTCCTGCCATGATTTTTCAGGACCCTCGTAATATAAGCCCCACCCCAAAAATAAGCCCCAGTTAAGATTGTCAGCCAGACGGACCGCATTTAGTACTGTATTTCCCCAAATATAAGCCCTAACCGAAAAATAAGCCCTAATGCAGTGGTGGCGAACCTATGGCACAGGTGCCAGAGGCGGCACTCGGAGCCCTCTCTGTGGGCACACATGCCGTTGCCCCAGCCTTGCCTCCCCCCACGACCCCCTCCTCTCCAGGACTATCTAACAAAATGAAATTCAATGGTGAAAAAAGCAAGGTTCTGCATTTGGGCAAGGGGAACCAATGTACAGGTATAGTATAGGGGTGACTTGGTCAACAGTAGTAACTGTAAGAGGGACCTTGGAGTCCTAGTGGACAATCACTTAAATAGGAGCCAGCCGTGTGCTGCAGCTGCCAAAAAAGCCAACACAGTGCTGGGCTGCATTAACAGAGGGATAGAATCAAGATCACGTGAAGTATTAATACCACTTTACAATGCCTTGGTAAGGCCACACTTGGAATACTGCATCCAGTTTTGGTCACCATGATGTATAAAAGATGCTGAGACTCTAGAAAGAGTACAGAGAAAAGCAACAAAGATGATTAGGGGACTGGAGGCTAAAACATATAAAGAACGGTTGCTGGAATTGGGTATGTCTAGTTTAACGAAGAGAAGGACGAGGGGGGACATGATAGCAGTGTTCCAATATCTCAGGGGCTGCCACAAAGAAGAGGGAGTCAAGCTATTCTCCAAAGCACCTGAAGGCAGGACAAGAAGCAACTGATGGAAACTAATCAAGGAGAGAAGCAACCTAGAACTAAGGAGAAACTTCCTGACAGTGAGAACAATTAACCAGTGGAACAACCTGCCTCCAGAAGCGATGAATGCTCCAACACTGGAAGTTTTTAAGAAAAGACTGGACAGCCATTTGTCTGAAATGGTATAGGGTTTCCTGCCTGAGCAGGGGGTTGGACTCGATGACCTCCAAGGTCCCTTCCAACTTTTTATTATTATTATTATTATTATTATTATTATTATTATTATTATTATTATTATTATATAGCCCCCCTGAAGGAGAGTCGCCCTCGAGCGTGGCCCACACGGAGCAGCGCAGGCAAGGACATGGCAGCCAGGCAGCATAGACAAGACTCTGCCCTCACACCCCAGCATGCAGTTAATGCTGCAGGGCGCGGGCAGAGGGTGTGGCCGCCATAGCGCTGCTGGACTGCGTGGGCGATCTGCGGCAGGCCCTGGAGGCGGTGACTGGTCTTGTGGGCAGGCGGGGTGGGGGATGAGGGGCAGAGCGGGGGCGGGGCAGGGGGGGAGCGGGGGCGGGGCCAGTTTTTGGGCACTGGGTCTCTAAAAGGTTCGCCATCACTGGCCTAATGCATCGTTTGGAGCAAAAATTAATATAAGATCCGGTCTTATTTTTGGGGAAACAGGGTATTAGCATCGGAGTTGCAGGCTGAACAAACAGGACAAGCTCACTCGCAACTGCACAACCAAGTCCGTCTTTGCCACTGGCACAGGCCCTCCCACTGGACCCATCACCTCGCCACCCGCTGTGGCAACATCCTTAGCACCTCCAGCAGAGGAATTCTGCTCGCTAAATCCATCCTGTGATTTTGTTTTATTTTTCCCCTGACCCTCCCCACAGGAAGCACATGGCAGATTTCAGCCGATATTCCTCTTCCAGCTTTTAATTGCTCCATCAAGAGAAACATCATTAAAGAGATTTTGTATAGAAAAAAAGAGAGCGAGAGAGAGAGAGAGGGGAGAGACAGCGCGCCACTCCACAGTTTCCTCAACCTCCCCACAAAAGGGATGGGATTTTCTCTTGCTGGTGGCTCTTTAGATGAGAAGGTGTCCAGAACCTGGTTCCCCCCCCCCACCCGCCCACAGTTGCACGGCGAGATTTTTCTCCTTCTTGATTTGGTTGTCGTCCTTTGGGCGAAATGTGCTCGAGAACACAAAAACTGTCGTTTCCTTCCCCAGCACTGTTGTTACGGACTGGGGGAGGAGCGGGGTTATTTCACAAAGACCACGTTGTTGTTGGAATTGCGGGAAGCCAGCCAAGCTAGGAACACATCCCTGGGTGAGAGAGAGAGAGAAAAGAGAGACATGTCAGAAACAGAAAACCAACCTGAAACGAGATTAAAGCATCTGTCACAGAAATGCATTTCCAAAAGTAAGGAAAAATAAGAGGATTCGTTTGAATTCCACATGTTTACACCTGGCCAATCCCAATGCTCAAAAATGCATATCCAGAACACTGTTCCTCAACCTCAGCAACTTTTAAGACATCAGTTCCCAGAAGTCCCCAGTGTATGCGTGCTGGCTGAGGAATTCTGGAAATTGAAGTCCACAAATCTTAAAGTAGCTTAGGTTGAAAAACAAAAAAAAACCTCTCCCAGAAGATCCCAGCAAATACTCAGGGAGGAGAGAAGCTAAAGCCATATTTTCCTAATTCTAGCCATGTTGAGATGGGCGGCCTTCCAGAATTCTCGGTGGTGGCCATTTTGGCTGGGGGATTCTGGGAACTGAAGTTTCACAAATCTGCAAGTTGCCCAGTTGGAAGACAGTGATTCAAACGGAGCAGATTCCCATTTTCTGGTTTGTTTGTTTTTTCAATGAGCAATACAGGTGGTCCTCAGCTTACGACCACAGTTGAGTCCGAAGTTTCTGTTGCTAAATGAGACACATATTGAGTGAGTTTTGCCCCGTTTTTAGGACATTTCTTGCCCCAATTGTTAAGTGAACCACTGCAGTTGTTAAGTTAGTGGTGCAGTTGTTAAGTGAATCTGGTTCCCCCGTTGACTTTGCTTGTCAGAAGGTTGCAAAAGGAGGTCACGTGACCCCGGGACACCGCAACCGTCATAAATATGAACCAGTTGCCAGGTGTTCTGAATTTTGGTCACGTGACCTCAGGGAGGCTACAGTGGGCATTGTTGTGGATCAGCCAGTTAGATGGGTCTGTATGTTAGAATGTTTGGCATTTATAAGGTTAAACGCTGTCTCCTTAAGAGATGGCTTATGGATAATGTAGTTTTAGCTATTCAGTAAATTCCATGTTAACAGGTCAGTAGGAGGAGCTACTGAGTTCATCACAGGATATATTGGCTACGTGCCAGCTTGTAAAAGAGGTCTTTGTGAAAAAGGACACGAGGTGAAGTGTCCCATAAGAGCCATGGGGTGAGTTCACCTTCAATTTTTCACTGTGATGATCCAAACAAGATTTCTGCTTTAATCTTGTTCTTCTCATTCAGATAAACACCAAAGAAAGGAATATTAGACCATTTATTCATCAAAAATCCCAAACAATAACTTACAGTTAAGAAGAGTTCTTCTGCTGAACATATCATGACCTTTCCCATTCCTTTGGCTGAAATGGCATAGGGTTACCTGCCCGAGCAGGGGGTTGGACTTGATGACCTCCAAGGTCCCTTCCAACTTTATTACTATTATTATTATTATTATTATTATTATTATTATTATTATTATTATTAGTAGTAGTAGTAGTAGTAGTAGTAGTAGTAGTAGTAGTAGTAGTAGTAGTACTTTACAGCCCTTTTTAAGCGATTTACAGAGTCACCATATGGCCCCCAACAATCTGGGTCCTCATTTTATCGATCTCGAAAGGATGGAAGGCTGAGTTCAATCTTTTCAATCAGAATAGAGCTGGAAGGGATCTTGGAGGTCTTCTAGTCCAACAAGAAGGAGACCCGATACCATCTCAGACAAGTGTCTGTCTAGTCCAGGGGTAGACAACCTTGGCTCTTTTATGACTCGTGGACTTCAACTCCCAGAATTCCTGAGCCAGCGATCCTGAGGGGAAAGTGAGATGTTTCCATGCTGGCTCAGGAATTCTGGGAGTTGACGTCCACGAGTCATAAAAGAGCCAAGGTTGCCTACCCCTGGACTAGTCTCTTCTTAAAAGCCTCCAGTGATGGAACACCCACAACCTCTGGAGGCAAACTGTTCCAATGGTTAATTGTCCTCGCTGTTAGGAAGTTTCTCCTTCGTTCCAGATTGCTTCTCTCCTTGATTAATTTCCATCCATGGTTTCTTGTCTTGCCTTGATCCGGTCGGGATCAAACTCCTGGCAGTGGGCAGAGCTAGCCCGCCATACTGCATTCTAACCACCGTGCCACCATGGCTAAATCAAGGCAATTCCTTTCCGTGGTATCTCTTGAGGAGAACCCCAACAGAAGCTCTAAGTCACCCACCTGCAGTGTTTAACCACGCACTCGTTGCTACAATATTCGTTGTCCCAGTCGCTGTTGGCCACCGGAGGGTTGTCACAGCCCACACGGATGCAGCGAGGGCGGGGCGACATGGCCATGGGTGATTCGGAGACTAGCTCGACGTGCATTTGCGTTGGAGATTCGACCTGGAAGAGGAAGAAAAGGAAAAAGTTTCCGAGATTTAGCCAAGACTGCTAGATTGGGGGGACAGGTGGGGGACAGGAAAGAGAGACTCTTCGGTCTTGCAAAACGGGGGAGGAAAGCGGACTGAGATCTGCTCTTCCCCAGTGCAATCCAATTAAATTGCCTTTTCCATTGGCAGAATAACAAAAGTTGGGAGGAACCTTGGAGGTCTTCTAGTCCAACCCCTGCTCGAGCAGGAGACACTATACCAGTGATGGCGAACCTATGGCACGTGTCCCAGAGGCGGCACTCAGAGCCCTCTCTGTGGGCACACCTGCCGCCACCACTGCCAGCTCAAGTAGAGGCGGTAGACCACACTCCACATGTGCTTGCTGGCCTCTGTGTGCGGGGGCTGATGGTGTCAGGCAGCACCGCCCCTGCCTCGCCTTGCCCCGCAGCAATGGTACCGCCGCCCTACCCCCTGCCTCACCCCACAGGACGAGCATCCTGCCCACTGCCCCACACACCAGAGACCCCCTGGATCTCCCCCAATCCTGCCCAGTCCCCAAAGGCGTCTCCCCTACGAGCAACATCAAGATGGCCACCCCCACCCCGGCCATGCCCACTCAGTCTGCCGTGATCACCACAGCCATGCCCACCCAGTGGGCCATGCCCACCCCCGAGGGCACAATGCTGATGCGGCCCTGGCACTTTGCCATAAATAAGTGGGTTTTGGGTTGTGGTTTGGGCACTCGGTCTCTAAAAGGTTCGCCATCACTGCCCTATACCCATGGTGGCGAACCTGTGGCACGCGTGCCACAGGTGGCACGCAGAGCCCTCTCTGTGGGCACGCGCGCTGTTGCCCCAGTCCTAGGCCTTCAGTTGGGTTTTATAAAACTTTTTCGCTTTAGGCCTCCACCGCTGTGTGCAAAAAAACCAACAAAAAACGGTTCAATCAGTCAATTTCAACTTCTCGCGGGAAAAAAAGATCTCGCAAAGTTGGAACTGATTGACTGAACTTTTTAGTCCCACCCAGTCTGCCGTTACCACCACAGCTATGCCTACCCAATGGGCCACGCCCACCCGGCAATACATAAGTGGGTTTTGGGTTGCAGTTTGGGCACTCGGTCTCTCAAAGGTTCGCCATTGCTGCCCTATACCATTTCGGACAAATGGCCCATCCAATCTCTTCTTAAAAACTTCTAGTGTTGGAGCCCCCACAACTTCTGGAGGCAAGCTGTTCCACTGATTTAATTGTTACTATTTATTTATCTGTTACGATTTTTATCCCACCTGTGTTACTTTGTAAGTAACTCAAGGCGGTGAACATACATATTATTCCTCCCTCCTGCTGTTTTCCCCACGACAACAATCCTGTGAGGTGGGTTGGACTGAGAGAGAATGACTAGCCAAAGGTCACTCGGCTGATTTTCGTGCCTCAGGCGGGACTAGAACTTCCAGTCTCCTGGCGATTGACCCAAAGTCACCCAGCCGGATTTCACGTCTCTAAGATTGGGACTAGATCTCACCGTCTCCTGGTTTCCAGACTAGCATCTTATCCACTAGACCAGGGGTAGGCAACCTTGGCTCTTTTATGACTCGTGGACTTCAACTCCCAGAATTCCTGAGCCAGCATGGCTCAGCTTGGAAATCTCTCCCTTTTCCCTCAGCGTGGTTGGCTCAGGAATTCTGGGAGCTGAAGTCCACGAGTCATAAAAGAGAGACAAGGTTGCCTACCCCTGCACTAGACCAATGTTTATATTTTTATATTTAAGACTAGCTGTCCCCGGTCACGCGTTGCTGTGGCTCAGTCTGGTAAAAGCGTGTGTTGCTTTTACGTCCAACAGATGGCACTGTTTTTCAAAAAAAGCATGTGTTTACCTGTCACAGGTGTGACATCTATATAATATAGGTATATAAAAACACGCGCGTATTCGAATGCAATGTTGTGTCAAAATTTCAAAGCAATCGGTGAAGAACTTTCGGAGATTTACATTTTTATTTATATAGCTTTCTTAATTATAAGCCCACCACTGTCCGCTTTCAGAGCGAGGCTGGCAGTCTGTAAATCCAATAAATAAAAAAATGTAGGGATTAAATTGTAGCCCAGTTAAATTCCATTACCATTAGTGATTGTGGGCCACGTTTGCTTTCAACAGAATAGAAACAAAACGGGAAGCTTCTTTCCTAGCCTCAAGTAGTATTCTTCCCACGCTTTCTATCTGCTGAAAGATTCAGATATTTGGTGGGCGCAACTCATACACACACACACACCCCGCAGTCATTGACCGGAGAAGCAAAGAATGTTGGGTTATGCCTAAAAAGTCCCTTAGTTAAAGACAGATCCGGGAGGCGGGAGGCTAAAGCATAGGAAGAACGGTTGCAGAAATTCCTCATTATTGAGTGTTTTCCTGAGACGGCTAGAAATGGTCTCGTCCCTCCATTCTTAAGTACAGAATCCAATCTCCTCATTGGCCAGACAAGATGCTATTAGAGGTAGTCCTCGACGTACGACATAATTGGAATCAGAACGTCCGTGGCTTGACAGGGTAGTCCAGGGGTAGGCCACCTTGGCTCTTTTATGACTCGTGGACTTCAACTCTAAGAATTCCAGAGCCAGCCACGCTGAGGGAAAAGGGAGAGGTTTCCAAGCTGAGCCATGCTGGCTCAGGAATTCTGGGAGTTGAAGTCCACGAGTCATAAAAGAGCCAAGGTGGCCTACCCCTGGTCTAGTCTAATGAAAAGAAGGACCAGGGGGTGACATGATAGCAGTCTTCCAATATCTGAGGGTCTGTCACAAAGA